CGTCCGATGTCATCGTGATTTTTGTGTATGGTGCACAAAGTGGTGCCCCAAACAGTTTTCTTGTTTGATTTGTGTTGGCTATATAGAATATACATACAATATAGGGAAAATAAATAATATTATGTTCATGTATATTATGTTTGAAAAAATCATTATTAAACTGCGAATAGCATATTTGTGTTTTTTTAATTTCTGTCAACAAATAATGTTGTGTCTTATCCCCTTCAGGAGATAAATCAGAAGGCTAGATCAACTAAACGATAAACAATTAGATGGTGGGTCAGACCAGTGCCATCGGAAGGAAAACGAAAGAGAAAAAAGCATGAAAAAAGATTATACTGAGTAAACTCCGCTTTAAGTTACAAGGATTTCCATGGCTGCCACTAATAATTTTCGCCATTGCTCGTTTAACGCGGCAAATGTTCGGCGCTATATGCGGCCTAGCTGGCTCTGGGCCGCCACGCAAGAATTTTCGAATTCATGGCGCGGTTTTGTTGTATCGAGCGTCTTGATTACATTGAATGCACCGGCACAATTAGGGCAGTGATAAAAGGGTATATAAGTCATGGAAAAGTAAACACGAAACGGCTAAATGTACTTTTCATACATTTTATTTTGTGACAAATACACACAAGCAAATATACTACTTGCTGTGCTGGAAATTTCGTGACGCTAGACTAGTTTAACGTGTGTGTTAGCTTACCGCAGAGTTTTTGAACCTCTGAAAACAAGGTGAATAGGCCACATGCAGCTGACTGAATCTTAGACTTGTACAGCAGGGATGCTCCAACATATTCTGAAATAATTAAACAAATGATCTACTCACAGACTTACATCATATCAAATCAAACAACCCACTCATCCATATGTCATAACAAATGTTAGTTCACAAACCAGTAAAAAATTACCATTAATAACCATGATAATATCAGACAAGAAAATTATCTCAAACAGTGGCTACCAGGGTCTTGTTAACTTTTGAACAAAGGCGGTAATTTGAACAACATGAATAGGGCAGGTAACTGTTTTTCGCGGCACGGACGGTAGGCGGAGACGGCGCGAAGGGCGGCGAAAAACGCCTGCCTAGGGGGTCGCCGGGGCATTGCAACTCCCCGAAAAAAATTTCTGATTTGACCCCACAAATAGTCGCCATATTTTGATGATAGTTCGTAGAATTTGGTAGGAAAATATTATTATAGTATTAATCTATAAAGAAAAAACCGCCCGTGCACTAGAGTTAGGTCTTGGTTGAATGTTTTAAAATAAACTTTCGTTGTTAGATAGGAAAATATATGATAATTAGTTAGTATCTATTATTAAAAAAGAAAAACGCCGCCCGTGGCCACAGGAGTTAGTTCTTGGGTTGGACAGATATTTAAAAATAAACTTTCGCTTTGTTTAGATAGGAAAATATATGCATATTAATATCTATTATAGAAAAGCAAAAACCCGCCGCTGCACATGAGTTAGTACCTTGGGTTGGAAGTATTTTAAAATAAACTTCGTTTTTTCAAATATGGATTTAAATAGTTTTACCGGCGCTGATAGCCCGGTAACATAATTGCATGATTTTGTCTTTGCATGCGGTTCTAAGACATTTTATTGTTATTTCAAACAATTACTTTTACTCAAGCAACAACGGTAGGCATCATGAGAGTGAGAATAAACACTAAAAAACGCTGAAAACAACTCGCAATGATCGCTTTAAAAAACTCTGAAAACACATCACTGGCATAACTGATTTCTCAGCAGCGTAGCATGTTCAGGGATATACATGTGTTCATGCTCCTACGATACAGTCCATCGTAAATGGATGAGCAAGTAAACTATTTTAAATGAGAAAACATTGGGAATTCATAACATAGTCTAACAATATACAGTAGTAGTAGTAGTAGTAGTAATAAATGTCACATACACACACGCACGCCTGCACGCCCGTACGCCCGCACAAACACACTCATGCACGCACGCACACACACACACACACACATATATATTAATATTTCAATCGGATAAATATCATGGTCATTCACATATCTAAGCCTTCATGTATATAAATGAGAAAAATCATAATAGTAAACAAATGGAGATATTGGTATAAGAACATGTTACCAATCAATTCCTATATTATATATACATATACTCACTGCAAATCATTTCTGCATAGGTGGAGAGATCAACATCGAGGTCAGCACTAGGCAGCTCAATCTGAATTAAAATAATTACCCAAGCAAGTTATCAACACATTCAAGGAAAATTCACAGAATTCACGTTAGAGGGGGAAAATGCAGGGTGGATGTCTATTACTATATTTCCATATAAAAAAATATGCCGTTTCCCAGTTCGTCTTATGAAATTGCAATTTTGACTTTCTAGCATCCCAGTTGGTTTATATTCTCAAATCTCGAAAAATGTATATATGGTATTTTCCAGTTTCAATTGCAAGGAAATGTGTTTTACCTCTTTCAGTAAGTCCTCTATTTCCGGTGGCCATTCTTCCATCAGAGTGTCAATCTCAGGCATGTTTCTACGACCATGTAAAACACACATTTATTCACATAAAAATCTTAACAACATTAAGAAATTATAATTATTATAAATAAACTGTCCGATGATGACAAACACGACTAGACCACAGAACAACTTATACCATAACCTGTAACTTTCCATTTAGTTACCAAATTCTTGCTCATATTTTTAGAGAATAATTTCCCACAAGATTCTGTCATCATGCAACTTTCAATCAAACACCACATCTTAAGGTTTACTAGCTAGATCAAGAATAGGCAAATAATAAAATCTGTACTTTTTATTAATTGCATATCTAATTAAAGTCCCCTATTGCAGTTAATTGTGTATCTGAACCAGTAAATTACTTATACTACCATACTCTATCTATTTAATATATAAAACTACTATTAAAATATATTCCTTCTGCTTATACCTTGTATAGTGCACAGTAGGAGGTGGCTTGTTCCTGTGGAGATCGCTAATGCTGTTAATCCAGCTGTCTATTGCCTTTGGATTTCTGTCAGCATTCTCTATATTCTTCACTGCCTTTTGATGTAACAAAAACACTTGCAAATATTTCAAGAGAGGCTGCTTGACCCAAGCGTATGGGATTTGATTACTTAGTTACAATTACTTAATTTAAAGTTTTTACTCATAAAAAAATCAATAAATAACAGATTGCATAAATGCTATGACACTATTTGTTAGTCATGCATGATATTGTGGCACAATATGCATGGTACTCAACGTCGTTTGATATGGTCATGTAGCATTGTTTGGTTTGTTGAACATACCATCGTTTTGAGTGTTGATTGCTTGGAGACAGCTCTTAGCTGCAGGTCCAGCACAGTGGCATCTGACTGCTTAGAGCTGGGCTCATCTAAAGCAGTTAACCCCAAAATGTCTTTTGATCCATCCGGACGAGGAACCTGTGTGTTAATTTCATGTTACAGAGCATATTTCAACTGCTATCTCATGATCCACGCACATAAAGGTGATAAACTTACTGGTTCTTGTACATATTTCAACATCACATGAAAAGTTGTACAGTAGTCATAGTTACCTAATAAGGTTTTAATACACTGGCAGCTACATTGTCTTATTATATTAAAAATTTAACGTTCATTAAATTATATTCGAGGTATATAATACCTTGAGGCAGAGATTTAGATCCCTTTGATATGTTCAAGTTAGATAAAACTGGTCAAACATACTAACACATGTTGTGATCATATCAATGAGAACTAAATGAATATGGAACTTACAAACGATTTAACAATACAAATTAAAAACCTATCAACTTACTCAGCACACACGCACGCACGCACGCACGCACGCACGCACGCACGCACGCACGCACGCACGCACGCACGCACGCACGCACGAACGCACGCACAGACTGTAAGTGCAGTACAATTACACGAAAAGGCCTAATTATGTGTAGTCATGCAAAACATGGTTAGAATACCTAGTTATATAATGCTTAAGTGATATTGTTATAATATAATAATATATTGATATAATGCTTAAGTTATATAATATTAAATGATATTAATTGTCATTAGAATTGTGGTGGTTCTAACTACCCCTCTTCTATATATCTCTAGTTGTTGAGCCAAATTAGTCCGTACTCGCATAACTAGAGAACTCCGCGGCCTAGAGGAAAACTAAATATATTTTCAGAATCAGCACGCCTGGGAGAACGTTTGGTTCTGGCAGAAACAAAAATTTAAAAAAGTTAAAAAGTTAAAAATTGATAAAAATTCTATTCATCAATTACGTATATTACGAATAGATATCAAATCTATTCATCAATTCATCAATCACGTACGTGTGAATCCATGGTGTATACCCTTAACGGCGCAGTGGCCTAATCGCTAGAACATCCGTCTCCTACACCGGGATTCCAGGTTCGAGTCCCAGCTGGGGAACTTATTTTCCCCTTCTTTCCTTTTTTCCCCTTTACCTACCTCTTTAGTATGTATTATTTTTAATTTTTTACTTTTTACTTTTTATTTTTAATGTCTTTTATCTTTTGATTTCTTTTTTTTTTTACTGTTTGGGATGGGATGGGATGGCATGCGATGGGATGGGATGGGATGGCATGGCATGGGATTGGATGAGATGGGATGGGATGGGATGGGATGGGATGCGGTGCGATGGAATGGGATGGGATTGGATGGGATACAGAGCGATGGGATGGGATGGCATGGCATGGGATGGCATGGCATGTCATGGGATGGCATGGCATGGGATGGCATGGGATGAGATGGGATGAGACAGGATGGGATGGGATATGGGATGGGATGCGGTGCGATGGGATGGGATGGGATGGCATGGAATGGGATGGATGGATGGATGCATAGATGGATGCATGGATAGATAAATAGTTAGATTTTTTTGGGTATTTTCCTTTCAACCAAGCGGTCACCAACTGAGTAACACCACTGATTTCCCCGGGCAACGCCGGGTATCCCGCTAGTTCATTAATAAAGGACATAAGAATACAGGTAGCTATACTGAATAATTCATAAACACATTATTTATAAAGAATAACATTTCTATTACAAAAGTAGGATTATACGGACAGTCAAACCTGTGTTAATGGTCACCTCTACAGAACGGACACCTGTCTATCAAGAACCATTTTGTCCTTGAATGAGCCTCACAAACAGGTTTGTCCGTAACATCTAAGTTTCATACAATTCTACAAAAATATCACGATCAAACTAGGTTATGCCAGAAATATGAAACACACCCTGAAACTTGTTGAAGTAAATGTGAGACACATATGAAATCACTTACTTTGATGAAGGCGTCAATATCCCCAATGGCTGGAATGAAGTCAGGAATAAATGGCTTGAGCGTATGCTCCAGCTCTATGGACTGAGGTGTGTACCTACACAGTACAGGTGACTACACTATAAATCCATTACATTTTCTTTTCACTAGAAAGCAGCAGGCAATTTACTTAATTGAGTTGCACTTCACAAAAAGTTCGACTTTTTACATCGATTATGAACAGGATAAGATCAGAAAACTATGCTCAAAAGAATACGAGTGTCTGGACGAATGCACTTTATATAATTGATATCTTGGCAGACATACATCGGGAATAATTACAGATACAGTAACTAAATTTACAAATACAAACACGCACGTATACACGCATGATATCTTGGCAGACATACATCGGGAATAATTACAGATACAGTAACTAAATTTACAAATACAAACACGCACGTATACACGCACGAACATTATCCCATGGGTATTTGGGAAACTGCCTGCCATCACTTCATTATCATTATTAAGGATGAAAGAAAATGCATCATGCTGTCAAGAAATCTCAGATAGTTTTACCAAATGCACTAACATGCCAAAAACTTGCATGAACTAACATTAAAAATTGCTTTATTTCATTGCATTTATTTTATCCGAAAAAACACATTCAAATGTTCTTTACAATAAATCTGTAGTTGGATTGTGTTGTAAAGGGGCATGCTACAGATAACTAACAATATTACATACCTTGAGATGTACTGAAACAGTTCTTTAATCTCGGCTGACACAGCAAGATTGGTATACTCCGCTGGGTCATAAGCTCTGTGACAGCATAAACACAGTCTTTAACTAAATGAGTTCAACCTTAAGATGTATCCTTTATAGAACCAAGTGAAGTAATCCTATGGCTAATTCTTACTTGAACTTTTCGTAGCCGATTTTATGTTTTATGTTACCATAGAAGCCTAACATGTCCAAGGTTTCCGTCATCACGTTTCCCTTTTGTAAAACGTCTTTATGTTTGATATATTTTGGTATTCACTAAACCTTCTGTTCCCATACGGGAAAACAAACAACTGTAGTTCTATCTGCAGGGGTATAAATTAACTTTTGAACAAGGGAGTCCAACGGACTCCCTGCCCTTAAAAAGAAGGAGTCCGCAGTCTGAAGTTCAAAACTAAAGATATTAACAATAACGCATGTGCTAGCTTGTTTTGAAGATTCATGCAGTTGCACGTCTGCCAAAATTTTCTTTGGACATTTGCTGAAAAAATCCGGTAATACCGCGAGGCTGTGCTCTGGAACGAACTAGTTAGTATATAGCAGAATTTTCAGCAGGTCACATGGACTCCTGCATATGTCAAATCAGGGAGTCCGACAGTAAATCATGGAGTATTTGACTCCTGACTCGCGTTAATTTCGCACCCTGTATCTGCATCCCTGATTGTCCACACTGGCCTTACCCTTCCAGAGGCACTGTTGGTTCATCATCCTCGTCATCGTCATCATCATCATCTTCATCATCATCATCATCCTCACTATCATCTTCCTGATCTCCTTCACCACTGAATCTTTTTGACTAGAATTTAAAATTAAAAAAAACGAGTTCAACTGTCAGCAAGCTGAAGCCAACTTAGTACAGTAATCGCTGAACTTAATAATGTTGAACCAATGAATGTTATACATACCCAAAAGTTAATGTACCTATAGCACAAACAAATGACGTTAATGGTATATTATAACTGTACATAACATTATTTAATTGTACCCTATTCTGCCTAGCATCAAGCAAGCTAGACTGGTAATCTCGGCTATAGGCAGTTGCTAGCCATCTAGTAAACTACACCGTCATTAACAGCCATGTCCAATAGTCCATTCATGGCCTAGCAAAGAAATATTCACGGGGTATGAAAGTGATGAGACACCGAAAACCAGTCTGGCCACCAGCACAGATATCTCACGCCAGGAAAATTAACAGTTATTCATGACAAAGACACTGTGACATTACGCGACAGTCATGTCATTCTTAGCAGTTTCCCACCTGCAAATAAGGCAAAACTATATTAAAGTTTTAGCAAGTGCAAACTCTGCTGTGATTACTATATAAAATTATGAATCTTGATTTGTCTGCCATCTGTTTTGATTTGTCTGCACAATACATGTTCTCTGACACCATCAAAAAACACCATCTTAGCCTTCTGATTTGCAGCTGCCTGGTACTTCTGTTGTTGTTTTTGCAGCTGTTGCTCAATGCTCAATCTCACACCAAAGGATTAATTTGCAAATTGGAAATGTTCTGCCTTTGTCATTGATGACTGCCCACCAAAACAATCGATACAGATTTCTATTACATTGCAAGCGGTTTGGTCGCCAAACATCAAGAACGCTATAGATGTTGGTGATCTAGTCGCTGGCAATATTTCGTTAAAATTATATCATAAGGTACATCATATCAAGCAATTCAGTGACAATTTTGTTGCCAATGACAAAAATATGCTAGGAGTGTGCCAGCCATAACAAAAGGACAACGTTGCTGGCTAACATGCTAGGCAGTGGAGAGTTTAGTGTTGATATCATATGAATGACTGTTATGGCATTCTACATACACGAATGAAACTTCTACAAGGAATGACCTAAAATATAAAGACAAATAAAATATGAATATGCTTGATGGTCAAGTTTGCATATGTTTCTTTTAACTAATAATGCGATCACCAAGAAAAATGTGTATTTGTGAAAGGCAGTTTCATTTTCAGCAGCAGAATTTCCAAATGACGCTCTTTAGAAACTGCTCACACCAACCAATACAGAACCAAAAACTATTCCCATAAACAACGTCTTTGTTTTAAAATTACTATCAATGTCTCGGTACTGAGCCTAAATAAACAGAAACGAAACGTCTTGCAAAACTATCCTATTATGATATGAATCATTCATTGGCCTACAAACGAAATTGAACATCCATTAACACAGCAAGAGAAAATTATCAGAAAAGCAAACGACGGCAGTAGCACACAAGCATATACCTCATCAACAGGTTTGAAGAAGGTCTTCACTTTCTGTAGAAATCCACCAGACTTCTGGATACGAGAAAGACACTATGATATACATATATCTATATTTAACCGGCCACTGCCAAACAATATCAGGGAAGAAACAAGACAACAACAAATGAAATTTGTAGCAAATATTCTATTGACATTGTTACCATAGCAGTCAAAATTATAATAGCTGCTTTGAATGAAATGATAAATTTATGTATCTGGGACCGGTTTCACAAAGCGTAATTAACTTTAATTATAATTAAAGGCCTAATTACGCTTCATGAAACCGTTCCCCTGAATTAATAAAAACGAAGGATTTCTTTGTGTGCCCGTGTGTGTGTGTACATCATCTGGCATAAACAAAAACCTTCTTTTATTCACTCCTGATATTTTCTTGAACATATCAACACTCATATAGACGTGTTACTATATATATATATATATAGGAAAATACGCGTGGTTTTAACCATGTGTGCATAATCAATATGCCGTTTTTCTTTTACCAATGCAAAAAAATTTAGAAGTTTGTCTGTTAATTATAATAAACCAAATGAATTATATTATACATAACACAAAATTAAACAAAACAACACACAAGACTGACATTAAATAAAACGAAAGAATTAATATTTTTTTATTAATATTATATTATATAATTATATATTAATATTATAAGAATTAAAAAACTAACAATTTTCTACAAAGCCTACTCTACTCTGCCTACAGGTGCACAATTTCATTGTTATTCGTTTGTAATGGTAATATCTATAAGATAGATAAAGAATTTGTAAGAAAATAACACACGCACAAACACCCAAGGTATTAGTCAAAAAGTAAAATGTGCATGTCTTACTGCATTTCATGGCAGATTGGTAAATTATATAGACAGGTAAACGTCAGTATATATAGATGCTATCCCCTGCCTTGTAAAAGTAGTAACGATAACTAGAAAATTTGCAATGCAGACAAACTTTTACCCATACAGAACGGAGCATACTCAATACTCATTGTTGGGCCTGTTATTGGGTTTGAAATCCATTGCTATTAAGCCTGGCGCACACGTGAGTAATTTTACTCAAGTAAAATGATGCATGCATCAAAATACTCAACGAAAATCCACCGCACACGTGAGTATTTTGACGCATGCGTCAAAATTTATACTCAACGAAAATCCGCCGCACACGTGAGTATTTTGACGCATGCATCCTTTTACTTGAGTAAAATTACTCACGTGTGCGCCGGGCATTAGCAATAAGTTATCATCCACGATTTACAAGCATATAAATATTTCTTAATTATGAGGAAATTATTCGACTGGCAAGCATATTTATGGCTGTGGTTAGAACACTGATTTTGGTATCAGACTTTTAATATCGAAGCAAAACACCACCTATCGAAGTGACATGATAGGCACCACCAGAGCACGTATATCATGTATGATACAGGCCCGTAGCCAGCTTTCTATTGGGGGGGTTCGTTTTTCAATGTTGGCAATTTGCTCGGCAGGGGCGTGTACAGGATTTGTACCAGGGGGGAATATATGATATTAAGTATCTATTATAAAAAGAAAAACCCGCCCGTGCACAGAGTTAGTCTTGGGTTGGAAGTATTTAAAATAAACTTCGTTTTTTCAAATATGGATTAAATATTTTACCGCCTTGATAGCCGGTAACAAATTGCGCGATAGGCGGTAAAAATAACCGGTTACCGGCTATTAACAAGAACCCTGGGCTACTAATCATCACAAACCCAATTACTCCTAACAAACCTGCTACTTATATCTGCCATCTAGTGGCTCTTTAAAACGATCATTGCGAGAATTTTGCTCAGAAAAACTAAATATAGCTGAATATAGTCTCACCTGACAGCGAAAATATCACTGATTACACCAACATTCAAAACACCAATATTTTATGCAGTTATAGCATAGAAAAATTGATTTGACCACATCATACCAGCAATACATTTTTTCGAGTCAGGACTTTCAAAAATCACAAATGGAGTCTCAAACAAGCGAACATAATTAAAACAAAGGGGTATCTATTTGTGTGTGATAAATATTCTCGCTGGCGGTACGCAACGAGGATTTGATCCATTTCTCTCTCCGTCTTCGTTATAGTCCCTAGGACTTTTGAAGACTAATATTTATGAGGTTACAACTTACACTCTTGTTTGTGTTACGCTACTATGCACCTCTGTGTTTACATCTGACCAAAAATATCTCCGGTGCGATTTTTGCATTACTGTACCCTTGCGGTACCGCGAGAAAGTGCGAGACATGAC